CTCTTGCATACAAAACGATATCTAGAAATTTAACGCGTTACATCAGTGGGTCGGTTGGCGTTAAATCCTTCCAATTCTGGATTAATAATTTCGGTATGACATAAACGTGACCAATCTATTTTGTAACTCTTTATGTGTAATATGAAATCGATAGTATTAATGGTGATCCATCCAATGAATTAATGTTTAATATTATCGAATTAATGCATGTTTCATATGTTAATACGATATATTCTCTGTTTAGTTATTACTATTTACGAATATATAGTATGTTTGACATCATATTGTATTTTTTCGTGTACAATAAAAGAGAGAGAGAGAGAGAGAGAGAGAGAGAGAGAGAGAGTGTGTGTGTGTGTGTGTGTGTGTGTCAAGAAGTAATAAAATATACAATATAATATAGCAGAATAATATAAAAATAATGGGAAGCATTATAATAATACGCAGTATAATAATACCATAAAATTTATAGAATTCGATATTTAAGAGAAAAAGAAAGATATTATGTTTATTCTAAAAGTTTCCGGTAAATTTTTCTCGCGTTATTGCGATATTCCTGCGATATTCATAACAACGGACGATAGTAAATTCATTGCGTACGGGCTGTTTTTAAGTATTATTGTAATTTATGATGCTCATGGCACAGATTTGTCGCATAACGCGTAATTAACTAGAAACAAAACTCATCTCCATATATTCTATAGAGATATGTTACATATTCGCGTAATCAATCAATTACAACCTTTGCTATTTCTGTTGGAACAGTTTAAAAAAATATCAAGTTTTGATTTTTTTGTTGACTTTTTTTGTTGGGAATCCTTAGATTGTGAGAATCCTTACATCATTCGCTATAGTTCTAAATTTGATTTGATGACAGGTTTGGGAATTGTCATGAAAAGTCGGAGTGCCTCGAAAAAATCACGACTTCGTCTTGGAGAGCTTAGCTATTATTGGTGCCGTTGCAATCGTGATCGCGAAAGCTTGTAGTCATGACGCCCCAACTTCATTCACCTTTAACGAGTGTAATATACATACGCTATTAAGAACGTTGAGACCTCGCTTTGTCAGGACGAGACGCGGAGACTTTTCAGAGACACTCGCGACAATATTGCCTAACTAACCGTGGTCTAACTAAGTTTCCGTATCTGAGAAGCACAAGCGAGAATAAACCGACATATGAGGCACTCCTATCGTAAGACACAAGCGACAAAACGGATTTTGCATCACGATCGATTAAGAACAAACGAATATCTTACGTCTTACGATTTAGAGATACAGATAGTGACATATTGTCATCCATTTAATTTTAAATTCTGTTCGATAGACCTCTGAATTCATATTTTAAGGAAATTATCAAAATAACATCGTGATCAATTGAATTTTCCGTTAAGGAAAAATTTCAATTCGGGATTTATCAGATCGCAAAACATTCTGTGTGTTAATTATGGATATTCGTGAATTAATTCTTTGTAGTCAGCACTACAATTGAAGAATGAATTTAGTTAGATTATTTAGCGAAATAATCAAACATTCATATTATCGCAATTGTTGATGCAATTAACTTTTTCATGGAGATACCCAAAAAGGAAGATGAACACTGCGAACATCATCTCATCCTTCAACATCATAATTGGATTTCGCTTCGTTGCTTCTCAGTTTATACCTTGTGAGACATAAATGCATAATAATTTATACCTCGTTGTCCGACTCGGACAAGAGAGAACATTAGA